AGCTGGACCTCCGTTGGGTTGATCAAGCAAGGGCAGCCATTTGGTCACTCCCAGGACGAGTTACTGGGGATGAGTCACGTCTTGACGCCAAAGGAAGATCTGGTGAAAGGGAATGCAGTTCTCGTCCAGGGGGAGAGAATGGAGATTCATCGAAGCAACAAGTTGTGGTAGTTACAGGATGACCTGAGGTGGTGCAGGGAGGTAAGGTGAAAGTTGTGAGGTCCCAAATGTTGGGATTTGTGAGGATCCCGTTATGCACAAGTCACGAATTTAATAGCAAACGTAAACCTGTGCGCAACTGATCTAATGGTTTGACGTAGAAAACTTACGGCTTAAATTTTGCTGAATCTGACGGGATGGATCAGATGGGTGACCGGGAGCAGCACGTCGGAGGGATACCGGGATTGCACACGGAAGCGGGGCTCGTCGGCGTCAAGATCGTGAGGCTGCGGAGGTCGCTGGGCGTCGCGTGGTGGAGGGCCTGGGATAAGAGTTGCGGCGTCGTTGGGCTAGGCTCGGCGACTTGTTGTTGCTCACATCGGCTTGTCGCTACGGAGGTCCGATTGTCGTTGCTCGTCGGCGGCGGTCCAATGGGTCACAGTGGTCGGCTCCGGGGTTGACGAATATATGATCACGTGATTTCGAATACCTCGGGATCTTCTACTGTATTACTCGAACACCTCTTCAACTTGTATTGGTGGAACAACACGAAGATGATAAAGCTCGAACAGAAATCTAGAGAGAGAGAGGGGCGTGCGTGTATAACAAATACATGTTAGGGATTTTCTGATCTCTTCTTCTCATTTCCATGAGCTTAATGATGTATATATAGGACTACAATAGGGATCCTTAGGAGAACAGGAATAGGGTTTCTTATGTATTGGACGAACTGTGGGCCTGACCCACTCTTCCAATTACTTAAATAATATTACGGTCTACTAAAATAAAATTATTACACTTTCTTTTCCTATCCCAAATTACATTTGAGACTTCAATAATAATTACCCGAATTACCTCCACATGTTTAAGATATAATGTCCATTAATTAATTCGATGACTGATAATCAAGAATTAATTAATATATTATATTACCAAAGCTAGTGCTCGTTCATTGCATTATTATTATGCTGGAACTTAGTCCACCTGTAGGGTTTAGCATAACAATCCTTCATGAACTCACTTCGGGGACATCATCAACTAACGCACCTGGTGACTGTAAATATCCTAACAGTACATCATACATACAGCGATTTTACCCAAAACAGTAAAATTATTGATCTAGCGAACTGAATCTCACCCAAGTGAATCAAAGTAGTAAATACTGTTGTAGCAAATTGTTTTTATTTTTACCGAGTACCGAATCAAAAGATTCGTTCCCCGGGTCGATCTCTCGAGGAAGACGGTTCGGAATCTAGCGTTGGTATTAATCACACACGAAAAGAAAATAAGACCTAAACACTCTAATCATGATTAATTTGGTAAATTAACTAAAACAAGCTAGAACTAGAAAGCAATTTAAAGAAATAACAATTAAATCTCTAGAGAAAAGGAAGAAGTTCTAGGGGTCGAAAAATCTCATCAAGTTTCAGACTATGTAGAACGATTATTTGTTCGGTTACGAGATTTAACAAGCCTACACGTCTAGAGGGCTATGCTCAATAACTCTTCGTAACAAGAGCACATACATAAACGATAAACTCATTCAAACAAGCAACACATAGACAATACGTTTCCGAACAAGTCTACTCTATACGAGCCTAAATCGACTGACATCTCCCCTCTCGGTTCTAAACGTCGATTAACTAGGTTAGAATGGTGATCAATCAACTAACCCTATAATTCACACAACTCGCATAGATTGAACATAACACATTCCACATAATTCAAACAAGAATCAAAATCCCTAACCCTAGGTGAATGGATTACCTCATGCTTAGATTCAATCTCATGTTAACTGGAATTAAGAACATAAAACCAATCAACAATAATAAAATAAAATTCAAAAACTTACAATCGGATTAAGACTTGAAAGATTTCAATCCAAATGTCTTTGTGTCCAACAATCCAAGCATGAGAAAATAAAAAGAAAAGCGGAGAAAATTATCCTAACAATATTGAGTTTTTGGAGAGAAAAATTGAAAAGAACGACATTGGGGGTTGTTCCTTAGGTCTGGAGGTTCGATTTGATATATAGTGCGCGAAAAACGGAGTTAAAACGAGTAAAAACGAGCAAAAATAAAAACAGGGGTCGACAGGGTCGCGACTTGCGAGTTGACTCGCGAGTCGCGAGTTGAACGGGTCGTTGGGCTGCTGAGGCTCTGTTGAAGTCGCGAGTCGCGACTTTTCTCTCGCGAGTCGCGACATAAACTCGCGACTCGCGACTTTTTGCTCGCGACTCGCGAGATTCTGGGCTGCACTGCGCCATTTTGCGTTTTCGCCTCGTTTGAGCTCATCCGAACTCGGAATTGAGTTCCGTTTTTTCCTATGCGTCGCTAACGAACCCCTCTATCCAGTTATGCTCTCGAAACGAATTTTTCCTGAAGAAAAATTCACCCAAATCTTTCGACCTACACACAAAAAACGACAAAATACAAAAAAAAACCGGAAAAACAAACAAAAAAACACCTAATGACTCAAAATGAAGGAAAACACATAATAAAACACGAAACGGACTAAAAACCAAAGAAACAACCTAAAACGAGGGAAAAAGAAAGATAAAATAAACACGAAAAATGCAACAAAAATGGGACAAACAAATACTGTATGCACATGTCTGTTTAATATCTTACGGGTTAAGAGAACACAATAATTAACCGAGACTTAAGTTTGTTTACGACGATCAGTATAAAATAAAATGTTTCTCTCTAGGATCCTGTTCAATACATAATGCATTAGTGCAACTAATCAGTCAAGACCAACACAGTTGATACTACAACCGTTCAGATGGTGTGTTCATCTCCATGTTGGTTGTGAACCAATAATTCTTATTTCGCAAGTAACTGATAAAGTGATCTTCTGTTCACCAGCTAATGAACCATTTTATCTCAGCACAAAACAACAGAACATAAAACTTGTTTAATCGAACATGATTCTCATTCATAAAGGGTAAAAGTGTAATATCATCCAAAGTCACGCTTTCAGTATATAACTTTTTTAAGATATCAATGGGGAAGCCTGGAAGGTATGATATACCATATCACATGTGCAATGGATTTATATATAACTTTTTTAATCAATATATAATTTTATTATTTTTTAGTTAGTATTAGAAATTAATAGATGATTTAATTTTATAATAAAAATTTTAAAAATGATTTATTTATTTTATACGTTCAATATAGATGTCAACCGAAGGTCGTCAAAACATGGCATTTGATAAATTAATATGAAAAATTGATAGCAATAATAAAATTTATTAAATTTTAAATATATTTAGAATTTAAGTTTTTGAATTGTTTATAATTTTAGAAGTTATGGGTTGAACCAAGATCTACATGGATTGTTGTTAGAAATTGACACATACATTACGAAGCACTAGAAATTTGACACATAGGATTATGATGTGCAAGAAGTCCACACATAGCATCGGGACATTCTATATTAATATATACGAGGAGATACCATCGGTTTTTCGTTGCGGCGGATTCTTCTGACTTTTTATTCTTATATTTTTCAAAAAATTGGTAAAAGAATATTAAAAAATCTAAATGGTAATTTTGTCTGACTTTAAAGTATAATATGATAAAATTGGAAATATATGAATAAGTTATTCCAAGAATTTAAAAAATTATATATAATTGATTTAAATCCGTCACCCGCGGCAGAAAGTTTCAACGACTAATTTTTAATAATTTAAAAATAAAAAATAGTTATTTTTAAATATTATGACCAATATTGATTAAATTAAAATTAAAAATAAATTTTACCTTAGGTGATACATTTGAATTTTTTTTATGAAAAAAACAGTGTTTTAAAAGCGCATCGCGTTTTGGTCCTTATATTGTGTAGCGTAAATAGCGTAGCGTATTGCGTAAGTTATTCGGGCAATTCAGGTTTAATGCCAAAAATAATAATATATAACCATACAAGCGAATAAATAATTAAAATGGTCTTAAAGCATAAATTAATTTGGACATTAAATCTGAAAAATAATATTCAAATATTAATTATTTAAACAACCAAAGTCTTAATGTGTAAAGTAAAGACTCAAAATCTTAAAATGATCGATGTTATCCAATAGAATTTGGCTATCATCGTCAATTCTATCAAAGTTATGGAGAGTTTCACTACAAAAAATATTAATACAATTCCACCAAATTCTTGCATCTCCTCATCATTTTGAAAAAAACTGAAGTGTTGTTTCCATTTCACTTTTGAGCTTAAGAAACATAAACATCAATTTTATATATATAGTGAAAAGGTCAATTATAGCTATGTTGATATCCATTTTTCAAATATTTTTTTTCAAGAGAAATACGAAACATGGTCTAATAGTCACTCAAATTCTCCGTGTGAGAAATTACTCAATTTTGTGTCCTACATTTTTTTTTATATTTTTATTATTTTATTTCTTATTTTTTGTCTATAAATAAAGATTTCCCTAATAGCATGAGAAATAGTCTAAATAGGGCAAAATATAGCGTAAATTGCGTAAATAACGCAAAATAAAGCGTAAATTGCATGCGATTTTCTGAAACTGCGTGAATTTATGTCGCGTTTTTAGGTCACGCTATAGCGCTACGTAACGCGATAAATTGCGCTATTTAAAACTCGGGGAAAAAATGGATTCCGAGTAAAAAATGAAGGGCCAATAATGGTGAAACACGTCAGCTGCCCTCAAAATAAATGACGTGTAACCCGAGACGCGTGATAAATATATATTCCAGCCTCCACCCAACACACGCAGACGCAGTAATCTCTTTCTCTCTCTCTCTCTCTGAAATTACTTTTTAACGAAACCGATTATCTCGTCGTCGGTGATCCGCAGAGCAGAGCCAGAGATGGCGGAAGGCAAGTACAATCGCAAGAACCCCTCCGTCAAGAGGATTTTGCAGGAGTTTAAGGAGATGCAATCGAATCCCTCCGATGATTTCATGAGCCTTCCTCTCGAGGTATCATTTATCAATTTTTTTCTTAGTTATAGACGGCCCAAGAATTTCGCCTTTTTTTGGGTGTTTATTCGTCCTCAATATTCTCTTGCCTTGATGTAGCCGAAGAGATTTATCACGATGAATTGATTTTGTAAAAGTGATTTGAGATCAGTTTCGTTTTTTCTGCAGAAAATGTATACTATCGAGGTTTATTATTGTTATTATTATTCATTCATCTCGCGTGAAATTCTTTTTTTCAGCTAATTTCTATTTTAAGGGAGTGATGCATCTCAAGTTTCAGAAAAAAAAAAAAAAAATCATAAATTTTTTTTCTTGAACTTGTTCAGCGATTTCTTCAATATAATAGAATTGGGGTCTTTTTTTTTTTTATCAGTTTCGAGAAATTTTGTTGCCTGATATGATGTGTAACTTGAGATACATCTAGCCTTTAGCTGCCCATAATTTGCCTTTTCTTATATAAATGGCGGATGCGAATCGATCAATTTTTTCTCGATTTCGAGAAATTTAAGATTTAGGCTTCTACTTCAAACGCTTTGCAGGTTTATGTCCGAATTATTATACACAGATTTAACCTTTTTTGTAATGTTTTTCTTCAGGAGAATATATTTGAATGGCAGTTTGCAATTAGGGGGCCAAGAGACTCTGAGTTTGAAGGAGGAATATACCATGGAAGAATTCAATTGCCTGCTGACTATCCTTTCAATCCACCTTCATTTATGCTGTTGACGGTATTACATCAGTTTTCATAGCAGTTCACCAGTAATAAATTATTCACTTGTTGATATTGGTGGTTATATGGTTTTCTGTCTGAGTAAGTGTTTTATTTAAAACAGCCAAATGGTCGATTTGAAACCCAAACCAAGATCTGCTTGAGCATCTCAAACCATCACCCTGAGCATTGGCAACCATCCTGGAGCGGTATGCTCGTGATTGAGAAATTTATAATTGTTTCCAGTTCTTTCTTTTTTGGTCTGTGTAAATTTATTTTCACGGGCTATACCACCACACGCACATCATTTGATATCCAGTTAGATGAACCCAAAAGTTGAAAGAACATATTCCTGTTTCTTAAGAAAGTATGCTCTCATGGTAAAATGATTCGTGAACAAGTTGATTGAAGGGAACTATTTGCTTTGATTTTATTTTCCTCATATAACATTTTACGATAACTGGTGACATCACTAACTCTACCCTCTATTGTGAGCGTTTTTAATTTATGTGCAACGTCATGGGTTTTGACTGATTTTTCTTCCGAGGATTCTTTGATTTATCTAAGTAATGAGCTGCCACATCATGTAATCCATCTCAATTCAACATATTGTTTGTGCATCTTAAAAAATTTTCTTGCATGTGTTTGATCGCCATGAAATTGTACACCATACTCATTTATCTTGTATAAGTTAGAAACTCATGTGTGGGTTCTCCCCATTTTTCCCTTTCCATTTTTGCAGTCCGCACTGCCTTGGTAGCTTTAATTGCATTTATGCCAACAAGCCCTAATGGGGCATTGGGATCCTTAGATTACTCGAAAGAAGAAAGGCGAGCACTTGCAATTAAGTCTCGTGAAGCTGCTCCAACTTTCGGGTCTCCTGATCGCCAAAGGCTAATTGATGAGGTTCTTTCTTCTTTCCCTGTTTCATTTTGTTTCATTTTTTTTTTCTTCTGCCTTTTTTTTTTCCTTTTCTCCGAGCAAGTGAAGTTTTATTGGGCAAATAAACAGAGAAATCTTAAATGAATTTATTTTATTCTAGCTATCAAATTTGTAATCAAAAGGGGTGGTAGCTAGCTTGGTTTTGGAATCAAACATGGACATTGGTTTCTGTTTATTATTACAATTTATTTATTTGTGTTTTGTAGTCATCCTGACTTACGAATTTTTCCGTTTAGATCCACGAATATATGCTCAGTAAAGCCCAGTCAGTGCCTGAAGACGTTAAGCCCTCCGAAAAACGAAGCATTGAAAGTAATGAAAATCAGCAGAGTCCTCAAAACAATGTTGAGGGACATACTGAAACACTTCCAAATCCAGCTGAAAATGATGAAATCATCCAAGAACCTATTGAGGTGGCTGCAAATGCTAATGCTGAACTGACCCCGCAGTCGGTCCCCAGTGTGCCCTCGACTGAACATCAGCTGATGCAGAATCCAGAGCCAAGGGTTGTTCAAAAACCAAAACCAGCAGATGATCGTTTGTTCACATGGGCGGCTTTTGGGCTTACCATCGCCATAGTTGTTCTTTTGCTGAAGAAGTTCTTGAAAGCCAACGGTTACGGTGCTGTCTTTTTGAATGAGTCATAAGATGTGAAGCAAGTGAAAAGTGAGCACACTTGAAAAATCTGAAATACTATCAGTTCTAATGCAGATGTGTATGCATTTTGCATGTTTTTTTTTTTTTTTTTTTTTTTT